AGCCGGGGGGGGTCCTGCCCCTCCGCCCGCGGGGACAGCGGGAATCCCGCCGGGTTTACGGGAATTCTGCCGGGAAGGGGCTTAGGCCGCGGGAAACAGGCCATTTTCCCGCTGTGCTGCCCGGGCTCAGCATCTCCAGGGATGCAGGAACCGTTCGTTACATAAATTCCGTCGATTTGGGGGGGTTTCTCCTTTGCATGGGGGTAAAAATCAGGAGAGGTGGGATAAAACCGTGCGAGTGCCAAGGGCTTTTGGGAGAGGGAAGGTAGGAATCGCCTTTGCAGGGGGGTTATCTGTAAATAACGCTGTGGAGGCTCTTCCTCCCCATCCTCCTCCTCCTGCCGGGAGCGACTGCGGAGCAGAACCTGCCCTGCAAAGGGGCTTTTGGGGAGGACCAGCGACATTCCCAGGGGTTCTGGAGAGGCAAACGCTGCTGCACAAGGAAAAGGCTGATATTTGCCAGGAACTCTTTGCCTTTGGGATGTGGTCGCTGGATCCGGGCACAAAAAAAAAAAAAAAAAAGTAATAAAAGCGTTGTGCCTTTAACCCCGGGGTTTCCTTCCCTTTCCCTCAATGCCAAGTGTTTCCTTTAAAACCAACCCCATTTCTCCCAGTGCTCCGTTCTCAGGTGCTTTGCAACATATTCCTATTTATAAACCCTTGGCTCTGCAAGGCAGGGAATGAATGTTTAAAGTTTGTGTTAAATATTCATAAGCTCGTGTCAATGACAGAGCAAACTGTCCCATAACACTCCTGATAAGTTGGGAAATGGCCACTAACTCCAGTTATTTCCAGATCCTTAGTTAGGATGCCTTGAGCTTGTCAGGAAAAGGAATCAGACATTATTTTATTGGACTGGTTTTCCCATTTTCTAAAACAGAACTCAGGAATATGCTCCAAAGTGCCTCCCAGTGCAGGTGTAATCAGGTGTTTTGTGCTGGGAGATCTTGCCAATAAATGCAGCAGCTCCCTGAGATATCCCAGCAGTGGAGGATTTTGCAAGTCTGGAACAGAAAATATCCCTGGGTTTTTTTTCCTTCATCTGTGTCCATTTGTTTCATATATTCCTGAGTGATAAATGTATATTTTGATTTGCTGCACTGAGGAATGGGGCAGGTTGTTTTCTGCTCAGATTTGTGATTCTCAGGGCAGTCTCTGCCTTTTTGAGAATCCATCACCTCCAAAATTACAGTTGGGAAGATGCAGAAACTCCAGCTGGATCAGGGACACCCTCAGCAAGGTGACACTGAGCTCTGTGATGGGGTCACATCCTGGAGGGAAGGGACGGATACAGAGGGACCTGCACAGGCTGTGGCTGCTCCATCCCTGGAATGTTCAAGGCCAGGTTGGATGGAGCTCTGGTCTAGTGGAAGGTGTCCCTGCCCATGGCAGAGGGATGACCAAATGATCTTTAGGGCCCCAGATAACCAAGCCCAGCTCCTGGAATAGCCCTTGGAAGTGTTAATCCCTGTTCCTGGTTTCAGGGTGGTGAAATTTCGCCGCACCGGGGAGAGCTCCAGGTCGGATGAGGATGGAATTTCAGGAGAGCACGAGGTGCAGATTGAGGGGGTCAGGACAGAGCTAGAACCTGTGGAGCTGGAGGATGGAGCTGCAGTGCCAAAGGAATTTGCCAACCCCACAGATGGTGAGTAGGTCCCTGGTTTTCCTGCCAGGGGAAAGGTGTGGCCTCTTTATCTAACTGAGGTGGATACACTGGGTTTGGAAAAGTGAAAGACCCCCAGAGAAAAACAGGAAACAACGACATAGGCAAAATATGTTACATCTGGAAATCTTGGTTTAATCACCCCACTCTGTGTGGATGCTCCATGTGTTTGGCTTTGTATCCCCAGTAACAGACTCTTTTAGGAGTTGTAGATCCAGTCACTACTATTTCTTAGTTGCCTTAGAACTGATCCTGCTCCTAAAACATTGCCAGGTTTGCTGGAGCAGGTACACCTGGCTCTCCTTCAAGGCTGAGATGAATCTGCAGTGTTCCCATCTTCTCCTTTCCTAGAGGACAAGAGGGACAGGAGGAATGGGCATCCCAGCCTCTGTTCCCTGCCTGGAGGCAGCACTGGTTTGGGAGAGATGAGAAATATTGGCTTTGTCTTACACAAGGCAGGTGACAATTTGGTAGGATGTTATTAATCTTATTTATGAACATCTCTGCTCTGTTTTATCCACTGGATTTTGTTTGATTTCCTCTTGGTTTGCGGGTTTGGGCTCTGCTGAGAGAGGATGGGCAGCTCTGAGCCAGACAAAGCTTTTCTGTGGGGAACATCCTTTTTAAACTGCTGGAAGTGTTACAACTGTGAGACTTGAACAGCTCAAATATCAAAATGTGCTTTTCTTGTTCAGTTCATTTTTTTGCACTTGAGCAAAGGAATTGAGATATCTCAGCATCTTCAGCTGAAACAAAGTAATGAGGTCATGGCACTGTGTGGGAAACAACCCTCAGCATTCTGAATAGAAATAGGCTTTAAGATATGTGTGTCTTGGACAAATTCTTGATTTAAATAATTCCAGGTTGACCTTCCCTGCAATAAAACATTCCCTGCAGCTTCCAGCATTGCTGGGTGGGGGCTGTTGCACAGCTCTTATTTCTCCCCAGAAGAAGCTGCAGTTCAGTGGCTGGAGCAGTCACTCCCAGGAGTGAGAGGCTGAACATGTGCTGGATTTGCTGGTGCCACATTGATTTACCTCTATGGGATTGAAATATTCTAGGAATAATTTGAATTATTTTGATTTTAGCACCGTTCCTGAAGAACACAGGGATTTTCCTGAGTAGGAACTGTATTAAAACTAAGCAGCTGAGTTATATATTTGAGATCTCAACAGGTTACCTGGTTAATTAGGAGCTGTACTCACAGCAAAGGCTCTCCCAAAGGATGGGTCTGACTAGGGGAGGAATCCACTCCTGCACTGGAATTGTTTTCTTTCCAGATACTTTCATGGTGGAAGATGCGGTGGAAGCCATTGGATTTGGGAAGTTCCAGTGGAAGCTCTCTGTCATCACCGGATTAGCCTGGGCAAGTACTTGGGATCAGCACCAATTGCACGGTCACCAGAGAACCTCAGGGATTTCAAATCATGGAGACAGAGAGTTTCCAAACAGATAAATGTACAGCAAAGAAGGAATTTTACTTGAAATTCTAAAATAAGGAATTCTAAGGAGTCAAACTTGTTATTTGGGGGTAATGAACAACCGGTGGATTTCTTTGTCTCTGAAATTCTTGTAAGTCAGGGTTTGAAAAATCAGTTTGATTCTCCACTTCAAATGCTGTTTCAGATCCATGTAAAAGGTTGGACTGTGCCACGGTTTAGATCCTAAATCAGCTGTGGAATTTGGCCTACAGATGATCTACCAACATATTTGATACAAATCCAGTTATAAGGGAGAGAGGGAATAAGTTATAAGGTAATAAACAGTTCTGACTGAATCCATGTGTGAAGGAGCTGAAAGCTCATCCCTGGAATCTGCACTGTGGAAGTGACTGAGCCTGGGTCACTCCTTGGAATCACCCCCCAGTAACTCTGGATTTGGCTCTTTGAATCCCCTGTGCCAGAGTTACTGATCACAACAATCAGAAATTAGTTACTCAACACAACAACCAGAAATGAATTTAAAAGGGAACCTGTTGCTGTGTTTGCTCCACCACGGAGTGGGAATGGCACAGAAATTCCAACAAGGTGTATTTATTGACTCCTATGTCCTTCTAACTGTCAGGCAGTGGTTTATTTTGCTCTCTTTTCCCCCTGTAGATGGCAGATGCCATGGAAATGATGATTTTAAGCATCCTGGCTCCCCAGCTCCACTGTGAGTGGCGATTGCCCAGCTGGCAGGTGGCTCTGCTCACCTCGGTAGGAAAACAACCCACAGCTCCTGTGTTCCCTGAGGCTTTTCCTCTCAGTGTTATCCTGACATTATGCTTTGTATCCCCAAGTTAAATCTCTGCATGGCCTTTGCAGATTGCCTTTGGCTTGGAAGATTAGAGAGGTTTTTTTAAAAGCCATGAAACTCACTGAGAACCGAGGAAGTTTCAGGCTCAAAGTTTCATGTAATTTCCAGGGAAGTATATGAGTTGACTCAGACTCATCCTAAAATTCAAACCGTTAGATTAATTGAAAATAAAGATTGGTAGCTTTTGATTGTCTTGCTTGAAAATCTTTCTCTCTCCTCACATTTAAGCTCCCTTGGACACAGATGCAGTGGAAGCTGTGAGAGAGCAAACAAGTGTACCAGAGTGCCTAATCCAGTGCCACACTGGTTTGTCACTGGATGGAATTTTAATGGCAAAGCTGACTGGAGAGGTACCTTGTTGCTTCCTCTCTCCAAGCCGGAGAGAACTGGATGATCTCTAAGGTCCCTTCCAACTCAAACCATTCCATGACCCCCTGGATTTGTCACTCTGTTTTTAGAGCTGAAATTTTCTGGTTTCCTTGGAAGTTTTGTTCTCTTTGCTGTCACACAGAGATTTTCACTTGTCTTGTGTTTAAGGGGAAAATTTTTTCTTGATGTTTCACAGGTGGTGTTTGTGGGAATGATGTCCAGCTCCACCCTCTGGGGAAACATTTCAGACCAGTATGGGAGAAAAACAGTAAGTCTGTAGCTCCTACTGGAATTTATCCCAATATTTCTGCAGTGGGGATGTTTTAGTGCATGATGGCCCTGGCACAGGTTGCCCAGAGAAGCTGTGGCTGCCCCATCCCTGCAAGTGTCCAAGGCCAGGTTGGATGGGGCTTGGAGCAACCTGGGCTAGTGGGAGGTGACCCTGCCCATGGCAGGGGGTGGAATGAGATGATCTTTAAGGTCCTTTCCAACCCAACCCATTCTGGGATTCCATGGTCACAAATGTCAGAGTCCACAGGCACAAAGCAGAACTAAGCACATCCAGAACTGACCTCCCATGAAATAAAGGGAATTTTTAGCTCTGTTTTGTACTTAGTTAATTTGTGTTACAGTAGAAACTCTTTTTTAACTCCTGTTCAATGCAGGGCCTGAAGATCAGCGTGTTATGGACACTCTACTATGGGATCCTCAGTGGGTTTGCTCCTGTGTACAGCTGGATCCTGGTGCTGAGGGGCCTGGTGGGATTTGGGATTGGAGGAGTGCCTCAGTCGTAAGTAAATATTCACAAGTCCAAATTCCTCTTTTCTATTCATTTTTTATAAAATGTTTATGTCCAATTGAAGTGTTGTTTCTGTTCAGCTGACCCCAACCTTGGTCTTGTTGCAAGACAGGTCATGACCTAAACACCAGCATTCAGAGGCAGAGCTGAGCCCTGATTGCTGAGTCTAAACACACAGATTATTGTTCAGCCAGAGCCTAAACTTCTGTGTCTCAACCTGAGCTGGAATTCCAAACCCACTCAGCCCCAGCTTGGAGCACTGAAGGTGCTGTGATGGCTCAGAGGAAAAAGGCAGCACCAGGATATTTCTCTATTGCTGTGTCGTTCCATTCACGGAAGAGAAGGATCCATAAATCTCCCACCTGGAACAACTAACTCTGCTCTAGGCTTTTAATTATGAATGTAAAGAGAAGAGTTCAGCCATTCTCTCTCTGCCTTTTGTCCTTATCAATAATTGATATTTTGCCTTGTGGAGGTGCTATTTGGGAGTAGTCAGAGTCTATCTTTGATTGATGGCTCATTGACTTCTTCACAAAGTAGGAAGAGTAGCTCCTTTCTAATATCCTTAAGCAGGCTGTGTAACTCCACAGGTGAGTGGCTGAATCTCAATGGAATATCTTTGTAATTGCATCTTCTCTAATGGCTATGAGAGAGAGATTGTTCTGAAAGGTGCCTTTAAAACAAAAACCTCCAGCACTAATCCATTAACTGACTGTGGCACGTGTAGGCACAGAGCTGCACCTGAAGCTCTGGCCTCCTCTGGGAATTGTCTGAGAGATGCTGTCTAATGCTGAATGTGAAAGTTCATTCACAGAGCCAACATCCAGAGCTGCAAGGGTGTGGAGTGTTCAGGGATGTGGAGTATTCTCTTAGGAAAACAGTTCTGTACAGCATTATGGAATAGGAGGGTTTGGGTTGGAAGGGATCTTAAAGCTCATCCAGTCCCACCCCCTGCCATGGGCAGGGACACCTTCTACCAGACCAGGTTGCTCCAAGCCCCGTCCTACCTGGCCTTGGACACTTCCAGGGATGGGGCAGCCACAGCTTCTCTGGGCAACCTGTGCCAGGGCCTCCCCACCCTCACAGGGAGAAATTTCTTCCCTATATCTCACCTAAAAAGTCTGAACCCATTCCCCCTTGTCCTGTCACTGCAGTTCCTGATGAACAGTCCCTCTACAGCTCTCCTGGAGCCCCTTCAGACACTGGAAGGTGCTCTGAGGTCTCCACACAACCCTCTCTTCTCCAGGTTGAACAGCCCCAGCTCTCCCAGCCTGTCTCCATAGGGAAGGTGCTCCAGTCCTCTTATCAGCCTCGTGGCCTCCCCTGGACTTGCTCCAACAATTCCATGTCCTTACGTTGGGGTCACTTATCAGCTCCTACATTTCAAGATGTGATTTTCCTTCTCCTCTAAATCCCTGCTTTGATATAATGTTGTGTAACTTTGTACTTCAATGACTTTGTACTTTGCTTCCTGGGCAGCTCCTCATAAATCAATCCACTGTTCCTTAAGTTAGCAGGAATTTTGATACAAACCTCAAAGGAAGCCTGAGGAGTTTAGAGGCAGAAACAGGCTGAGTCAATGGAATGCAAACAGAGCAGGAGCAAAGCAGCAAAGACAAGCCTGAGCAGACAGTTTGAAGAAGATGAGGGAGCCTTGACTGGCTGCTGGCCCTGCCTTCATCCCCAGGAAACACTCCCAGAGAAGCTGTGCCATCTCCCTTTGGCACAATCATGGAACAAAGCCTCTGCAGAGCTCAGTGTTTTCTTTTGGAATCCCACAATAAAAGAATGCAAATTATTTTGTACCAGTAACATGATCAGACCTTGAAAGTCTTCCCCTCTTGTAGAATTGAACCCTGGCAGAGGAGACTGATGTGAAATTCTCTGAGCCAGTTGTAAAGCCCTGAAGAAAAACTTTCCCCATCAAGAGTTTGTGTTGGATTCTGATGGACCACACTGGAAATAACAGATACAAGGCCTGGCCCAGAGCAGGGCTGTGAAAACATCATTTAGACAACTACGGGGTCACAAAATCACATGAGAAGAGCAAATTGTGTCCTCTGTTGCAGTGGTGATAGGTTGGTTCTGGTGTAGAAAGGAGAGTCTGCCCCAGTGTCAGCCTGACTGGCTCTGGGGGACAGGAAGGGGTTTGAGTTACTCCTCTGGGTTTGGCAATTTAATTAAAAGCCAAAGGGAATGTTTGAACTTCTGTCTTTGTGCTGATGTGGCATTTTTCTCACTGTGCTAACATGACATTTTTTCTCTGTTCTCTCTTTGCAGAGTAACTTTATATGCTGAGTTCCTTCCAATGAAAGCCAGAGCAAAGTGCATTTTATTAATAGAGGTGAGCAGTGTGTGCTGATCCTTGGAAGGACAAATCCTACTGTTTGTTACATCCCTTCCATCCTCCTGCCTGGAAATCCCCCCCAGAGCTGCAGTCAGGCCTCCTTTGCCTGTCCACGTCAGTGTGGAGCTGAGTTATCTGGTACCAGCTCATATCCAAAAGACAGAAAGTTTCCACGTCACACTCCACTCTTTGTGTTGAATTTGCCTTTTTGCAAATTAACTTCCATCCAGAGATGGACACTGACTGCTCTGAGCACAGGAGGGACACTGGGTGTCTGTAATTCCATGGTGAAATTCATCTACAGCTCAGTAATGGATTTGGAGGAATGACTGGTCCATAAATCCAGGGCTAAATTCAGCTCCACGTCTTCATCCAAATGTGTCAAAGTCACAGAGAGCAGAATTTCACCCTATGAATATTTTAAGGCAAAATTCACAGCCCTTTGATAGATGATTGGAAGGTCAGGGCCAGAACTGTTACTTGGCTGCATCACTTCTTCCAGGAATGGGCCAGCCACAGATTCTCTGGGCAACCTGTGCCAGGGCCTCACCACTCTCACAGGGAGGAATTTCTTCCCAAAATCCCATCTAAATCTCCCTTCCTTCAGCCTAAGGTCATCCTCCTTGTCCTCTTACTCCAGGCCCTTGTGAAAAGTCCATACCTTGCCTTCCTGTAAGCCCTCTCTAGGCACTGGAAGGCTGGTAAATAAATGTTTTCACCCCTATAACCTTTAAACAAATCCCCCAAAAGTGTCTGGGCTCTATTCCCACACAGGTGCAGACCTGAAATGTCTCTGGCATTTCTCCCTCCAGCCATCCCTGGAGAGCACATCCTGGAATGCTGCAAAGAAGGAGACCTTAGGAACACTCATATCCTCACCTATGACTATTGCTTTTCCTTTCCCCAGGTGTTTTGGGCCCTTGGGACTGTGTTTGAGGTGCTCCTGGCAGTGCTGGTGATGCCCACGCTGGGCTGGCGCTGGCTCCTCATCCTCTCTGCCCTCCCGCTCCTGCTCTTCGCTGGCCTGTGCTTTGTAGGTATTTCCTCCAAGAATTAATATGTGTTCCCTCCATTCCCACTTCTCCTCCCCATTCTGTGACCCAGCTGAAGGAAATCATGGCAGCTTTGAGCTCTCTGTTGGTGTCTTCTGTGAAATATCTCCAATAATGCAAAAATGCTGTTTCCACAGGGTGCAGCTAAAACCATTCCAGGGAGAGCTGTGTTTGTGTGTCTCTAATTGCTGGAGGACAATGGTGGCTGGAATTTTGGGAAATCAGGCCTGGAACCCTCTCCAGTTTAATGACTTTGTTTCAACCCAGTGCAGGGGAATCAACATTTTATCAAAAGTGGTTGATACTTCCCAGATGCTCTTTAGATTTTAGAATCACTTTCCACTTAAAAATTCACCCAAAACAGGAGTAAAATGTGCAGAGTCCAGATCAGATTCCAAAATAAGATGTGTATGATTTAACCCTGAGCTTCAGTGATATATTTTATTATTTATTGGGTGATATATTTTCCAATCACTCAATCTCCTCATAGATAAATGTCCTTGAGAGGTGGTTTAGCAGCTTTTATTATTCCTTAGTTTTTCAGGAATCCCTCCAGTTATACAGGTGCTCCCAACCTTGTTTGAAATTAAAAGGAGCTTAAAAATATGAATTTTGGAATGTTTTTTGCCCTGGATGCTTTGCCATACCTACAGGGAAGGAGTAATGGAAAGAACTGGCACAAATGTCCAACATTTCTCAAGGATAAACCCAAGGGAACTGAAGAGAAAGAATTCTGGAGTTCTGAGTTTATGGGGAAAAATGGGGGGTTGTCATTTTTAAAGCCTGATGAGATGATTCTCTGAATTCTTAAAGATTAGTTCTGTAATCCTTCCTTGTGCTGGAGTCACTGGGATTTCCCCCAAGGAAAATGCCAGCATGTTTCTTGCTGTTTGTGACATCCCTGTGTGTGTGACCTGCTTTGTTCCCTCAGTGGCTGCCAGAGAGTGCCAGGTATGATGTGTTGTCTGGGAACCAGGAGAAAGCACTTGCCACTTTGAAGAGGATAGCAACAGAAAATGGAGCTCCAATGCCTCTGGGAAAACTGGTCATTTCCAGACAGGTAAGTCCAGGCACCTCAATAATGTGGGATACAGTGGAACTGTGCCAAGGTGATGTGTGGTTTATTAGCAAATAATCAATGTTCTGTTTGATTTTAATGCCTCAACTAGTAATAAGAAATACAGGATGATCATATGCTTCCTCTTTCACAGTGAGGAAGAGTTATGTTCTCAGTTTGAAAGTGAAAAGCACCTTTAAAGTGGGCATTAGTGTTATTTAACCTCACTCCAAGGCCTTGTTATTAAAGAAAATCGAGCCCTGAGGCTGAAGAGCTCAGATGGGAATTCTCAGATCTGAATTTATGAGACAAGAAGGACTTTGACACTTTAACTGTCTTTGGCAGGGGTGAGACTGGGTGATCTTCAAGGTCCCTTCCAACCCAACCGATTCTGGGAGTTTGGGATTCTTGCCACTCTGCATCCTCCAGCCCAGGACCCCTGAGTTCCCTGATCATCTGATTTCTGCTTGTTTTCAACAGGAAGACCGAGGAAAAATGAAGGACCTTTTCACCCCCCATTTCAGATGGACCACGTTGTTGCTCTGGTTTATATGGTAAGAGGGAACACAAAGCTTCAGTGCCAGCACAACTCTAAGTGCTTTTTATTGAAGGTATTTTACAGTGTTACTCAAATACAGCAACTTCCTCTTCAAAAAACCCCCAACAAAACCCAAAACCCCAACGTGTATTGATTTGTAATTCATTAAACCACCCAATCACCCTCATTCCCAATTAAATTGCTCTTTAATTGCTAAATGCTGGTAGGAAATTGCTTTGAGGTAGGACTTAGTGCATCTCCTCCCACAGTGGGTTCAGTTTTGATTCATGTTGTTTAATCTCAGTTTGACCAGCTGAGAATTCCTCTCTCATTTGCTTCCTTGCAGGTTTTCCAATGCCTTTTCATATTATGGGTTAGTTTTATTAACTACAGAGTTCTTCCAAGCAGGAGATGTTTGCAGCAGTGAGTACTAATCCATATTTTCTTCTTAAATATACCCTGTTAAAATTGGTGGAATATCTTTTATTAGATCACCTTCTGCTGTTGGTTTGGGAAGGAATGTGGCTGAGTTTTAAGTTTATTTTAAACATTTTTATAGACTGTTCCTCATCTCCTGCACAGGGTAGAGAGATCCTGCAGTGGTTTTGAACTCAAAGTGTAAAACAGCAAGACAACCTTCAAGGGAGACCTGTTATCTGTTCTTCTTGAGAAAAAAAAGTGGTTGAATAAATATAAGTTTGCAGATTTGACAGAGCTAATTAGTTCTGAGAGAGAGAAGCTGCTGCTCTGGAGCTCCTGGGTTCTCCAGATGGGAAAACCTGCTGAGAAAAAAAGATAATGGGAGGAAGTCATTGTCCTTTTTGTTGCAGATTTTTGGAGGGAGGAAAAAAAAAGGTGCTTTGACAGCGTTAAGAAGAGGTTTGAAAAGTCTGACTCCCCAGGGGAGGGATGATTGTGTTCAGTACAGTTGTAATTAGGGAAAACTGCCTGGAAGTTGGAAAATCACAGAAAGAGGAGGGGGAGTGTTGGGAGCAGACCCAGATCCCAGAGTTGCACAGCAGTGATCAAGGATTTGAGGGGTCTAAATCTGATTTCCTCCCCAGAGGAGGATGCAGCCCTTGAAAACACTGGGCTTTACAAGGACACGGGATTATTCAGTGTTCTCAGAGCATAGGAAGTGTTGGTATCCCAGTTTATGTGGGGAGAAACTGAATTTCTGAGGTTAATTCTGTCCTGAGCCCTGGAGCAAAAAATAACTAAGGCTGTTCAGGTGATAAGGAGGTGGAAGTTTTCATTGTGAGAGTGGTGTGAAACCTGCCACAGAAAACATTATAAAGCTGCTCAGTGTCAGCTCTGCCTTCCAGGTAAAATCACCTGGAATTACTCTGGAATGGCCTCTCTGACTGTGGATTCCATCCAAGCAACACATTAGGCATTCAGAGGAGGAAAACCAATTAAATCCAAGGGGCAGAATCACTTGCATTTCTATCCATAGATGAATTTCCAGAAGTATTTTTAAAGGGTGGTGGGTACAGTGAATCAGTGCCAGTCCTTTCAGTGCAGCCCTTCCTAAATTTCAGCAGTCAGAGTGATAAACACACACCAGGAGTGTAAACAGAGAAGAGATTACTTACAATATATGAAATATTTGACTTTTTTTTTTCCTTTTTCCCCAGTATCCAGCAGAAGGCAGGAAGTTAAAGCAAAGTGCAGCCTGACCTGTGAGTATCTGACAGAGGAGGATTACACAGACCTGCTCTGGACAACCCTGTCAGAATTCCCTGGTAAGTGGCAATGGGAAGCACCAGTTCTTCCCTGCTCAGGGTGATGGGAGGGGGCTCTGGGACCAGAAATGGAACTGGTCTGACTGTCCTAATGCCATCTAAATAACGGAAAGAAAATACCAACTTCTAAAGAGCCCTTAGATGCAGCAATGGGAAGATGAGCAGGGAACAATGGTCAGAGGTTACTCCAGTGAGCCACAGTCAGGCATTTCTGGCTTTCGCCTGAGGAACCACTGGATTAATCAGTGGTTAAGGGATGGCAAAGTGGATTGTTCACTCCTACAGCAGCAAAGTATTTGAAAGAGAGACAAAAATCTCAAATCTGAACAACCCAGACTGTTAAAAACTGCTCCATCCTCCCCCATTGCTCAGTTCCCAACACTCCCCTGGTCTCTTCCACAGGGGTGTTGGTGACACTCTGGATCATCGACCGGATCGGCCGCAAGAAAACCATGGCCCTGTCCTTCCTTGTCTTCTCATTTTGCAGCCTCCTGCTGTTCCTCTGTGTTGGAAGGTGGGTACAACACAGGGAACAACTGGAATATCAATTTGATCCATGTTCTCTCTTGACTGAGGCAGGAGAACTGGAAGTGGTGGTTTGAAAAGCCATGGGATGGTCGTGCTCAGCTGGAGAAAGGATTAAGGCTGGGTTTGGGTTTTCTCACCAGAGTTTGTAAGGAAACTAGAAGAAGCAGGAGAGAAGAAATCCTTTACTATAATCTGGTGGACAGAGCAATCCAAAGGGAAAAATAAGAGTTTAAGTCTGGGTAGGATGTAATCATTGGGCACTTTTAAATTTAAACCCTTCCAGGAACTTTCCAAAACCTCACAGAAACCTTGTATTAAGGAACCTTATAAAATTGCACATATCCAGGTGGTAATTGGGTTCGTGTCTTTTGAACAGGAAAGGTGGACTCTCATTTCCTTCTCATGGGTATCATTTTTATTTCTCTAGGCCCCAGCTCTCAGTTAGAAATTTAGAAAATTTGTGGGATTGTGGGAATGCAGATTCTTTGCCATCATCATTATATTAAAAGGTCCAGAAAAAATGCAAAGGGTTCATTAAAAAAGCCAAAAGAAATGATTCTAATAAATTTAGCATCTTTATTGCACTTGTCTCCAAGTGAACCCCCAGTGATTTTACCAAACAATCCCAAACTCTGCTCTCCTCTTTCTTCTCCCAGGAATGTTCTGACTGTGCTGCTCTTCATTGCAAGAGCCTTTATTTCAGGAGGATTTCAGGCTGCTTATGTTTACACTCCTGAGGTAAGGGGGTTGTTTTTGTGATGAGAATATTTATGAGGAGTGAGAACATGGGGGGGAAAGTAATTTTGATGACCTGTTCACAACGGACTCCAGCCAAGATTTGAGTTGTAGATCTCATTGTCATTGTCTAACAGAACGTGCTGTGGCAGCACTTATTCATTTCCACTGATTTAGGAGTGAAAGGAAGAGAATTTCCTACTGGCATTAATGGGCTGATGTTTTCTCCCCAGGTTTATCCCACAGCCACACGTGCTTTGGGCCTGGGAACATGCAGTGGAATGGCAAGAGTGGGAGCCCTCATAACCCCCTTCATTGCACAGGTAAAATCCCTTTTACTCTGAGGCTGAAGGAAGGTTGGACTCAATGATCTGGGAGGTCTCTTCCAACTTTAACAATTCCATAATTCTGTGAAGGTCACGGAGAACCTGCTTTTCCTTCCACCAGACCAGATTGATCCAAGCCCCGTCCAACCTGGCCTTGAACACTCCCAGGGATGGGGCAGTCACAGCTCCTCTGGGCAACCTATGCCAGGGCCTCATTACCCTCACAGGGAAGAATTTCTTCCCAATATCCCATCTCACCCCGCCCTCTGAGAGTTTAAATCATTATCCCTTGTCCTGCTGCTATCTGCCCATACAGAACGCCCTCCCCTTCCTTCTTATAAGCTGTTAATCTTTTTTCCAGTGCTGTAATTAAAATTTCTACTACTACATCAGTATCCATATTTGTTTCCCTGCTGAGGTCCTGTGTTCCTTTCCTGCCTGTTTCCTGCAGGTGATGTTGGAATCCTCAGTGTACCTGACCCTGGTGGTTTACAGCGGCTGCTGCCTCCTGGCCGCCCTGGCCTCCTGCTTCCTGCCCATCGAGACGAAGGGCCGTGGCCTCCAGGAGTCCAGCCACAAGGAATGGGGCCAGGAGATGGTGGGGAGAGGATCTCACTCCCCAGGGGAATCACAGGAGTGATGGCACATGGAAAGAATGAATGACTGGAGCAAGATTTCTCACAAAACCTCCGAGCCTGAAGCATCGAAAGCTGAGCCTCGTCACTGCCAACGTCACGTGTCAAACTGCAGGAATCTGGGGGTGAACCTCAGCAAATTGTGTCTCTGCTGCTCTTTGCTCACACTCATAGAAACTTTCCATCTGTATGGAGAGGGATTTAATCCAGACATCCTCTGGAGTTTAGCAGGAAGGGTGTTTCTCTGTTGTGCTTGCATGGTCAGCTCTTCAGCTTCAAACGTCCCGTGCCAAGCAAATCACCAAGTGACTGCAGCCCAGCATCAGCTGTAACTAAATACTGAACTCTTGAGCCTAAAAACAAGAGGTTGATATTTATTGTGTCCCTGGCCCTGCACAGGGTGGGTTCCACACACTACACTAGAAATTACATGCCTGCCTTGCACTTTTAACCATCAAAAACACAACAAAATGTGGTTGTGGCAAACCAACCTTTGCAGTTCCCCTGGTTGTGGGTTCTGTTCCTGGAGATTTAACTGGGAAGGATTGCTTGGAAATGAATTCCTGAATGTTTCTCCCATCCCAGCAGGTAGTTGGAACCCTGAGGGTGGTATTTGCTGCAGAGCTGAAACCTTATATCACAAATATAAATCATAGAATCATTAAGGTTGGAAAAGACCTCCAAGATCATCAAGTCCAGCTTTTAAATCCTCATGATTTGTAGCAGAATTTGAGTTCTCTGACATTGCCAGAAACCTTGAGCTCTCTGTCTTGCTTGGTGTGGGGAGGTGCTCACTGCTGTGGTTCTGTCCATGGATCCAGGTGTGCCCCTGCTCCGTTTACCTGAGCACCTTCCCACAGTGTAGCCAGAATCTGAGTTGGAAGAGCTGCTGTTGGGATGGAGCTGCTTCCAAGTGTCTCCCCAAAAAAGGTGGCCTCCTGACAGCTGGGCAGGACTTCTCCAGAGCTGCTGATTGTACATTGACTGGTGACAAAGGAATGTAGCTGGAATTGTGACATAAAAGGAACAAAAGTCACAGGAAGAGCCAAACTGCAATGACCCCTGGATGAGGAACATCCCTCCCTCAGGTGCAGCTCCTTGAGGTGATGGTGCTATTCTTGTCAGGGAATGCCATGGAGTTCAGGTGAGGACAAGCTCAGAAACCTGTCACTGGGCAGGAAATCCCATTGCAGAGCCTATGGGAATGTGTGAGGATCTGAGACGTGCCTCCTCCAGTTCCCAGTGTATTTTCAGGATTCCAAATTATGGAACACAACGAAATGTGAGGGAGATGGACTCTGTGCTCGTCCTGGGATGTGTTTTCATAGTCTGTCTGATCAGGTGTCTCACATAAACACAGGTAAATGTGCAGCACATTTTTGCACAGTTGAATATTTTAGGTATCCTGGGAAGCAGGTCCTGTTCCTGGGGGCAGGAATAGGTCACTGAGCCCATGTTTGGGGGCAGTACAAGTGAACACTGTTGGGCTCAGCTGTCACTGGGGGTCTCCCAGCACTGTGTGATGCTCCACCATGTGTCAGGCTCGTTGTTCAGAGACTGGAGGGAAAACAGAAGTGGATAATTCCTTAAAAAACCTGAGGAAACTCAGGCTAAGGAAGAAGGCCAAAGAGGTTGTTGGTGTTGTGTGTGTGGGTGTGTTCTCTGGGAACAGGCACAGTTTGCCAAGGCACCAGAGTGTCCATCCAGTCCCCACTGGTGGCTCGGTGGAAGATTCCGGGAGTGGTTGGTGTAAACAGGCAAAGTTGGCTTTTCCCAGCTACACAGAAATGAATTCATCTCCCAGGGGATCCCTGGGATGATGTGGGTGTCCAATGGGGTTGGTTCTCTCTGTCCCCCCTGACCCTGTGTCCTGTGAGCTCAGGCTCCAGTTGATCCCAGTAAACAGAAGGGCTCTCATGGCACTGGCAACACCCACAACTCCTTTGTGTTCACCCCCTTCTGCCAGGCTGGGGTTGGGTCACTCTCCCAGGTGCTCCTGTGCCACTCTCCCTGAGCTATTCCCAGTGGGTGTGAACCCCAGAACGGGGGGGCCTCTGGAGCTGAGCCTGGTTAGAGGTGTCAGAATCCAAGTGCAGGACAGCCCTGGCTGCAGGAACCCACCTCCCAGCCCAGGAGTTATTCATTACCTTTAGTTAAAACGCTGCTTTTCCATGTTAATGGTCACATTTCACTTCAGTTCTTAGGCCACTGTTCAACAGTTTTGAAGAATTGCAACAGCCTTCAGAGAGTTTTAGGGAAAATTTATCTGTTCATGCACACCTGGATCCTACAGATAAACTATTTCTCATTGAAGATTTATAGGGAATGCAAACTTTTGATGCTGTTGAATAGGTCACTTTTAGCCTGTGACATTTACAGTGTGAAAAAACAACAGTTAAAGGCATTTTTGCTTTTCACCTTTTACGAATTCTGCACTAAAAATGTGTTTAATGATATAAATACCACGGTTGGTCCTGCTGGGTCTTTGATTTAAGTGATGCCTAAAGCTTGATCCGAAGCTCACTGAAGTCTGGGAGAACTACTGTGCATATCTGTGGCCTTTGGATGAGCTGAGTAGAAGGAGACAGGAGCCCACTACAGCTGATCCTCTGAATTCAGCCAGAGAAACAGAGCTGAAATTCAGGATTTGCAGGTATTTGCATATAATTAAGAACAGAAGGATATTTGAGCTTGTTCACTGTAAAACTGAGACCATTTGGGTGGACACACAACACCTCTAAACAACCACAAACCGATTTTGTCAATAAGGCAGCACCATTTATGTAGAAAATCAGCTTCCAAAGATTGTTTTCCTCACTGAGTATTTTTCACTGATGAAGGAATTCCTGTAACTGCTTCATTTCAAACTGTTCAGTGAGATCACTTGGAATTCAGACAGAATTTTGGGATTCAGATTTGCCAACTGTCCAAGTCATGAACGTGCCAAGCTGGCGTGGGAAAAGAATTCTCCAAGTGAGCTTTGATGGAATGATTTGTTATTCCAAACTTCTTGCCGAAAGAGCATTGAATGTTTCCTGTGTCTGAATGTACAGTTTCTAAGCTGGATTTACCTTTTAATGTTGAAAAACTTGGTGTATATCAAGCTTGTTGTAAAATACTTCTTTGGTTCCTGGTCCTGGATGGTTGAAGTCCACATTAGATATTTTATGTTAAACAAATAAATAGTTTTTTCAGTAAAGAAGTTTTGGCTGTTCTGGGGGGATGTTTAGGAGGGGTCATAACTTTCCCTTGTGTTTTTGTCTTGGTGTTCAGAGGTTTGAGATACAGCGTGGGCTCAGCACTTTGCAGATCTGACTCGTTTTCTGTGTGGTTTTTTGTATTTGGTCATAAAGAAAAGTCCAGGATTCCTGTTCTCATTGTAAGTAACCTCACCACAGCTAAATATTGTGGATATTCCATCCCTGGAAGTGTCCAAGGCCGTGTTGGATGGGGTTTGGAGCAACCTGGTGTCCCTGCCCGTGGCAGGGGGTTGGAACTGGATGATCTTCAAGGCCCTTTCCAACCCAAACCATTCCAAGATTCTATGATTTTTTAGGTTATCTTAAATCTTTAGTTGATTTTCGTATTTTAATTCAGTTTGGACGCTAAACCCCAGCAGTGTGGTCTCTTGCCTGGGTGTGTTGGGAGCAGGTAGCTCCACATATGTCTGGACTTCAGGGCAGACAGATTTTCTTCTATTTACTTTTTAATAGAAACCTTTCATTTAGCTCTGATTTTTCTAAAACCTAATGAAGTGCCCAGCCCTGACTATTCCTCTGTAACTGATACTCTTATTTTGATGTCTAAGAATTTTACAAACATGAGGTTGTTCAAGTGTGAGTCAAAATGACTAATGAGCTGCAAATCCTTCATGTGCTAATCAGGGTGTTCTCATCCCAGATGCATCAATCTTCCCTCTCTCAGCTTGTGCAGCCACTGGGATGGGCAGTCTTATTTCCAGGAATGGAAATAGTTGGGAGCTTTGGAATGGTTGGTGTGCTTGAAGCAATGCTGGGGAGAATGTTTGCTCTTCTGTGGCTACTTTTTGGCATCCTGAGGCATTTCTAAAGTTCATTCTCAGAATCACAGAACATTCTGAGTTCAAAAGGACCCACAAGGATCATCCAGTCCAATTCCTGGCCCTGCACAGGACACTCCAAGGATCCCACCGTGTCCCTGAGAGTGTTGCCCAAATGCTTCTTGAGCTCTGGCAGGAGTGTCTGGTCGGAATGTGGAATAATGACTCTTCCTCCTGCAGCATGAAATGTTCAGGAAAAATGTGTCTTGAGACGTGGAATGATGATCTACTGGGATGTTTCTATGGAATTAGCACTGGAGGCCCTGCCTGTGCCATCATTAGGAAGAAAAAGCATCACGTGCGAGATGTTTGAATATTTCCTTTATTGTTCACAAACATGAAATTGTGCCTTTAGAGAGCAAACAAAATTAGCCTGTAAATAAAATTACAGATCAAATCATTCCTGTTTCCTGAGAGGCCATGTGAGATCACAGGACACTGGCTCCTGTAAGCTCTGAGACCAGAAGGATCAGCTGCTCATTGAAGGTACACAGTGATATCCTGCTCCCCTGCTCTTCCAGTGTAGCTTTTCTCAGATCACACAGTTTGGATTTACAGCAGATGAGAATGTGGTCCTGACTGTCTCATATTTGGAATAAGTGAAATCAAAGGGATTTGGTTCCCCTGAGTGGCTTCTCCTGAGGTGGGATCACAGGCCACTGGGTTCAGCATTAATTGGTGTGAATTTTCTCCAGCTCTGATTTTCATTTTCCTGCCCTATTCCTGATTTTACCCTGAGGCTGCAGCATCTCAGGTGAGCTGCCAGAGGGTGGAAAACCCTTTGGACAGACTGCCACTGACAGTGGCTCCCAATTTCTGGACCCTTCCCTTCTCTGGACACTGTCTCACCTTCCTTACAGCTGTCAGCACAGCCGAAGGGATGATGTCCTGCAGCCAGGAACCCCAAACCCTGGATACCATTGGATGTTTTATATTTCTCAGGGATGTGAGGAGCACCAGCACTGGGCCAAAATCACAGCCAGAGGAACTTCAATTCTGCTCTCACTGTGCCTTCAACAGTGAGTCTTTTCCTTGGGCATTCCCGTGTAATGCTGCTGATTTGCAGCATCTCCCGTTCCCGAGGTGCAGCACAGCCCAGGCTGAGGAGCTATTCCTGGCACATGGAGTCATAGGGAGAGAGGAGCTGCATCACGGTTGAGTAAGGAACAGTTGGCTTATCCGTGGAGGAGAGCGAGTCAGGCACTGTGCTGGGCTCAGGACAGCCTTTGGATTTGAGGCTAATGCTTCCTGACCAGCCAGTGCCCTGCCTGGGATGGCTTGCAGAGCAGGAAAGACACATGGCACTGAAAATTCAGCCAGGCTGTGCCTTCAGAACAGTGTGTTGGGTCCCCAGGAGCATCCCTGAACACCCCAAACACTCCTGCCCTCCTGGGAGCTGCCCCAACTCCTCTGGGAAGCACAACCTGCCCTGAGCCAGCCCTGCTCTCCAAGCTGTGTCCCAGCCATGTCCCACAGCTGGGAGAAATGGGAAACTGAGGGGCCCATGGGAGTTTTAGGGACAAGAAGAGCTATTTTGCTCTCTGCTATATATAGAGTCTGGCAAGTCCAGGGCTGGAACAAATTGCTTTTGTTGCTAAAACATCCTTTGGAAAGCCCATTTTAGGCAAGTGCTGCTGTCTGTTCCCAGCTACACTAACCAGGTGCTGCAACCCCGGGCTTTGTCCTGGCAGGAATGGGAAGAAAGCTGGTGGAACCCAGGCACGTGCTCCCAGAGCTGTTGTTACTTCCCTGGGAGCCTCAGAGCTTCTTCCTACTAAGGAGCTTTTGCCTCCTGGGGGGAGCCTGGAAATCTAATTACACGCTGGGTGTTGGAGCACCAGGGGAGACCTCAGGTGGCACCGGCTTGGTTTCAGATCCTGTCCCATGTGCAGATGAACTGCAGGGCTGTCAGGGTTTCAGCTGAACCCTGCCTGCCCTTTGCAGGCTGATCCCAGACAGGACTGCACTTTGCCATGGGTAATTAGTCCAGATTTTAAAGCCCTTCCTTGGGCAGGTTGTGCAGGGAGCTGAGCTGTCTGGATAAGGGCAGCGAGGCACTATGACCCAGAGCTGGAGCTGTGGAGGGTCCAGCACCCACATGTATCCCTGTGCTATTCCCATTGTTCTGTGTGATTTCTAAACTACTGCTGTTGGGATGATCCAGGTGAGCAGGCACTCACAAGCGGGGCTGTGCTGAACTGCCCACCTTCCTCCTCTCCTGGAGGATGCTCCCAAAGAGCCGGGCTGCTGCCATGGCACAGCCCCAGTGGATGGTGATCCCAAACCCGCCGTGGCCGTAGTTGTGGATCACCTGGGGGAGAATCACAGTCATGGAATGGTTTGAGTTGGAAGGGACCTTAAAGCCCAGCCAGTTCCACCCCCTGCCATGGGCTGGGACACCTTCCACTAGCCCAGGTTGCTCCAAGCCCTGTCCAGCCTGGCCCTGAACACTTCCATGGGCGGGGCAGCCACATCAGTATCGTGTTTCTGTGTCTCTGACATTTCTCTCTGACATTGGGCTGGAATGGAATCAAAGATTCCCTGGCTGTTGGTGGGGCAGGCTGGGGGCACAGCAGGGGGTTGGTGTTTCATTGCCAAGGTCATAGGGACTGGGGTACAATTAACACGGTCACTAATTGCACTCAGCCCCCGGGGCTGTGCACGTACCTCTCCCTGGACATTCCCATGCCGGATGCTCTCCCGCTCCAGGCGAACCTGGGGCCGTGACGGTCTCAGGCCACTCCACTCACTGACGATCTTTGCTTTCTGGAAGCAAAACTACATCAGCATTTGCACAGCATTCCTTGGAATTACAGCACCCCTGGAATTACAGCAGCCAAACCCCACGGCTTCAGGTGATCCATGGGAAGAGGAGGGACAGGGGGTCCCCAGTCCTGCAGCAGCTCCTGGGATGCTGCA